GTTACTTTAAGATATAGGAACAGTTAACAGGAGGCCTGCCACGGCCATACAGTTTGTAAGCAATATAAGTCTCTGTGTTTGCTTGGTTGGGTCTGAGCGGCTGTGGGGCTGGCGGGTGACAGAGATTTGTCCTGACTGTGGGCAAGGCAGGAAAACTCTAGCTACACAGCTCCTTTAAGAGACACTGCTGTTCAGCAGAGCACTTGAGTAGCCAGGAAGCTAAGTAAAAATGCCTGCCGCAGAGCAGGTATCGACTTCCCAGAGCTGGGGCAGTTAAGTGCAGCTCTTGTTAAGCTCGGCTGGCTGGCTCCCAGTGGCTTTCAGGCTCAGCACTCAAAAACCTGAGGAGGGGGCGGAGCCAACCACCAAAGCCTCGGTGGAGGGTTTAGCTGCTGCTTAGCAGTTTAAGGATTGGCTCATGGGGTCAGAGAACATTTACAGGTGCACAGTAACACAGGCCCAGACCGAAAAAACATTTTAAAAGGCTACTGTGTGCATAGGTGCTTAAAAAGGAAAAGAAAATGGGTATAGACTGTCATAGGAACAAATAAATAGCTTAAAAATAATTAAGTAAAGTCTTTAAAGAAAGAATAAAGTAATATAAAAAAGAATAAACCATGTAAACATGGAAAATACACAGGGAATCTGGAACCTGTATGGTGTTTTGTTGACTTTGAATTTTTGAATGCTGATGAGTGAATGGCAGCTACAGAGAGACATGGTATTGTAAAAGGAACTATTGAATTAAACCAGCCCAGGTACTTTAGGGGATGTCTTAACATTAAAGCGGAATTCAGAAAATGTATTGCCTTGGGAGAGAGCTTATGCTTTTGTGTCCACAGGAAACAAAAGACTGTGGATTCCTTCAAAATTAATAGAGGTCAGATTTGATTGGGGGAGGCCCCTGAAAATCTTGGCTACAGACATAAAGAAATAAACCTAGAAAAACCATAAGACAAGTACTGTGGGATGATCCTTCTGTATACTGTGAATATGTATTGCTCTCATTGGTTGAAAATAAAGCTGTTTTGGCCTATGGCAAGGCAGGATAAGGTTAGGCAGGAGACTCAAACTAAGGACTCAGAGGAAGAGGGACAGAGTCGAGACAGATATGAGCCGACTGCCCAAGAAGCAAGATGCCAGAGAACCGGTGAGCCACGAGCCACACGGCAATAAATAGATTAATAGATATGGGCTAATTTAAATGTAAGAGCTAGTTGGTAATAAGCCTGAGCCATCAACCAAATGCTTATAATTAAGATAAGCCTCTGTGTGGTAATTTGGGAAGCAGCTGCAGGGTGTCAGGACAGAAAGACTCTGCCTCCATTTACAGCTGATATCTTGACATGGGAATAGCTCTGAGATTGGATGATACATGATAGATCTTGTTGGTTACAGAGTCCTCATGATTTATTATTATATGCCATCCTTTCATATGGCATAAATGAAGGTTTTGGGCTGGGTGGTGTTGGCGCACACCTTTAATCCCAGCACTTGGGAGGCAGAGCCAGGCAAATCTCTGTGAGTTCAAGG